AACTTGCATCCAGAACTCTCTTGGCTCCCTTCGTAGTATTTAATCATCAAAGTGCTGTCTGCACTGATGTCCAGAAGGTTTTCAAAAGCTTAATTGGTCATGTCAGTAGGTTTACTTTTCGGGCCACATGAAAACGGGTTTGTTATCCAGCTGAAGTCATCCTCAGAGTCAATGTTGGGAAAATATTCGACAATTATTTATCCTAAACCTTCCAAGTTAACGCTGGTAATGTACATTAACGCTAATATAATATTTTGTTTACAGCCAATTTCACGAAAGCAATTTAAGTGATAAATGACTTTAAGCCAAAGAATTGGCTTCGGCCGATTAAATCCTGAATGTAAATTCATTTAAAGAACAAATGCTCTTATAAACTTTTATAATAACAAAACATAATCAAATAACTAAACAACATTACCTCATTCAAGAGTCGGCGAAAAACGGCGGATGCCGATTCTTTTGGACGATACCAGCCTCGGCATCGGCTGACTAATCGGTCGGACTCTAATATTTTTAGATTAATGTCGTTTCCCTCTTTTACATGAAACGACCCAAAAGAAAATTAATACATAAAATTACTTTTTAAAAAGTAAATTAAAAAATAGATACCTTCTTTTCAAAAATAAAAAATCTGAAAAATTTGTTGTTAATTTAAATTAAAAAAGAAACCATTTTAAATTAAAAAATATATGAAAAACTCCGCTGCGCCAGGACTTGAACTAGGATAACTCGATTGGCATTCCTGTGCTTTTCCCACTCGGCCTTTGCGACTATGACGCGAGCTAAATGATATGCAAGTGCTTTCTCTTAAAATACTTTTCACCACGAGTGGTGAATGAGAGAGCTTTTCTTCTAAGACTTTTGTGCTACACTGAGAAAAAAATCTACCAAAAAGTAGTTCGTATTACCTAATTCAAACTTGAAAAGGGATCACTGTGATTTTTAATTAATATTTCCAATCAAACCATAACATGGTTGAAAAAAACTATTGAGCTTTTAACTCAGTGTAGAATAAAAAAAACTAGTTCAAACTACCTTGCCATCTGTCTTTCGTTTGTCTTACGGAAGACTTTTTACTATCTTCCCTGTAATATGAAGAAGAAGAAGAATAAGGAAATGGTTGTCTTTTTGGTACTTAAAAATTCACTGCAAGTAGCCGCTTTCGATTCGCTACTTCTATGTTTGCTTAAATGCGACTTTATTTACAATAGAAAACAAATTAAGGAAAAGCAACAAGTGGATTAGCGGGCAGGAACAAGTAATACCTGCTTAGCTCATTAGGGTTTATTTAAACCATGCCTTGGTGGCGGCGACTGCGTAATACGTTGACGGCGAAAGTTAATAAATTTAAGCGAAATTTCTTAATTTCATCAAAATTTGCCAATAAATTACGAATGAGCCCTAAATTAAGATAGTGAGTCCAGACTAGTATACTATTCTTCACAGAAAGTGGTTTTACGTGGCGGGTCTCAAAACCGAATATGTCGCAGTGGCCCCACCGATGCTCGCTCTCTTTCTGCCGTAACCCAAGGCTTCACTCGGATTGGTGTACCGCATCTCGTACATGGGTTGCTCACGTTGCCCAGAGTGCGCGAACGACGACGCAAGAAGCGGGACTGAGTTAAGCCATGCAACTGTAACTGCATATCCAGAACAACGACTACATATGTATACCCAATTGCACTCCGAACGAACAACTACTTAGAACCAAAGCCATGCGCCCTTATCAACTCCTCGCCACCGCACAAGGTGTTACCATTTCAAATGAATATCCCTGTGCCGCTACATCTAAATTGTGTGCGAAATTTAAGCTCGATTGCTTTAAAATTGTGGAACCGTGATTAGGTACGTGCGTAGACTGAGTTACAATATATGAAATAACCTCGATTAAGGCCATCAAACTCCCTACCTTTCATTGTGGCCATCATCTTCTTTCACAATAAAATCACACATATGTATGTACATACTTAAAACAAGTATACGTACATACATACATACTACTTGACACATAGTTAGCCCATACCCCGCCTTCACTTAGCTTTCCATTCATTCCAATTCAATTTCAACTTCATGCAACTACTGCTGTTCCAAATTGCAACAAAAGACAATAAGACAAAAACGAATAAATTAAATCCCTGTACGAAAAATAGAATTTGCAGAAAAATTAGACAGCACCAGAGACGATAGCGTTGGCGATGGGGTGAAATAACGGTGAAAGCTTTATATGCACAGCAAAACCATTCAACTGTCGTGATTGCAGTTTTTTTCAGCTTCTCTCGCCGTCACTTCTTTCACTCCACCCTTCTGCGCGCCAGCCATAATGATGTCATTAATACGAATTTAATTAAACTGAAACCTTTTGTTCCAAGTCTGTAACGAAAAAGCACCTGAATAGTGAAAGAAGACACCTGGGATAGAGAGGGATTTTTATGTGACGACACATTAACCACAGACACTGATGAATAAGTCTATACAATTAAAGATGTGGTGCATTGGATATGTACCTATGTACTATGTAGATATGTTTATGAACATGTAAATAATGTACATGTAAACACTGAGTTTACCTAAATTGCTTTCTACGTGTATTAACTAATTTCTGAACTTAAATTCTAGGACTTTGTTCTAATTTAAATAAGTTCCTTTGGATAACTGCGGCGTGCATTATTTCCTAAAACCATTTTTGTATAGAAATGTACAATAGGGGGGGTAAATTTTTTTTTTACTATACACGTATAGGGTAGGATGATTCCGCGTGTAGTTCTAAGTAAATTTGCCGAAGAAACCGTAGGTCGAAAATCAATTTGGAGTTTGGCAAATTGCGAAAATATGTTTCATAGAAAATGTAAAAATTTCCACTGCACATCATGACTTCATACAAAATTTAAGCACTTGTTTTCGACACTACAGCAAAATTCTAACTTCAAATTGATGTTAGATCCATGGTTTCTTCGGCAAATTTGCTTAGAATTACATGTAGAATCCTTCTGCACCATACGCGCATAGTCGAACAAATCTTCCATACAAATTGACCCGCCCTAATATGCACCGATTACTAAGCCTTTTTTAAGTGTTATCAAGCACCCTTCTGGATTCAATAATTTTCAGTTCTTTATTGCCAAAATCCCAAGCTGTAAGTCATTGAACTGTTCAAAGAGTATATCTACCTTAAACGTTGTACACTGTACTCTAAACTTGATTTTTTTCACAACAGGTAGTAATCTGGTTTGGAATAAGACGAAAAATCTTCTTCAGTTACCTCTTCCAGAGATGTAGAGAATACTCGGCCCTACTTTCTTCCCGCTACCACTCATAGGATTGAGTTGAGTTGAATTGTCTAAAGGGATAATAGATTGATCCTTCTAATTCTCATGGTCCTACTAAGGGATTTATGCACCTGGGCCTGATGTTAGTTTGTCGAGCAAAGTTTCTGCTTTTCAGTTGTACACCGAGCCTTTTATAGAACCTATTATCTACAGCTAATCCTTGTTTGACTTTTAGACTTGCGTTGTTGGTGCGTTTTTACTGATTCCGGTGCAGAGCAAAACGTTAAAAGCTTCGATCACCTCAAAAAAACTTTAAGACGATTTTTTTTCCAGAAATCTATCCATAGCACTTACCGCTAGTTAATGCAAATATTTTTTTGTTCATGATTATATTTTCTAAATGTTTTTGTATTAATAGCGTTGAATCTGTACGATCCATAAGCAGTTGTATTTCCGGATCAGATTCTTGAGTTAGCTCACTTTCCATATATATACATATAGTGGCGTTCAAAAGTGGATGAATGGTATTTCATATTTAATATTTACCATGTTCTTCAATCAATCATTTTTGGGATTTTTTCGCATAAAAATATATTTCATGGTTTAACAATCATAACAAATCATATAAATCGCACTTTCAAACTTTATACAGAATTCAGAAGAATTCCACAAATTTGTATCTAAATGTCGAGATTTTTAACCAGAATTTTTTTAAAAATTTTAGGTATGTAGTTAACAGGATTATAAAATTTTAGTAAAATTTGTGCAATTTTTGAGCGGCAGGGAAATCGCATTGATTTTCAATATTTATTTATTTTTTGACTGCGTTTTGCAAAATTTTCCATATGAACATGAATTTTTAGTGGAAGAACATGCGCAAGACCGCAAAAGCCGTCAGCAAAAAAAAAAATATATATTAAAAATCAATGTTCGTATTTAAAAATAATATTTTCATACCAAAATTTACCACGCACGTGCTTGTATGTCCACAGCTTAGTATGTATAATAAATATGTAAGTGTACTGTATCTGTGAAGTATTTCTGGAGTGCAGAAGGAAAGCATATTGAACGAAAAATTCGATCAGACAAATTTAATAAAATAATAATTTAAAAACAGCCAAAAAGTATACGTTTCACAACGAATTTTCGGTACTTGTCTGTACATACGTTTCTGCCTCACACTTTAGTGGGAAAACGGATCGTCAAAGTATCCGAAAACGGTATCTGTAAACGGACAAAAATCCGCACTTCATCCACTTTTTTTCCTTTTCCGGATATTCGGATTATTTCCTGGCTGGGTACTTATTTTCGTTGACGTTTATAGTAAGCTTAATTACGTTTCTAATTGATTATAATATTTATTTCTCTCAGTGTAGGCAATGCTCCTCAGCACTTTTATGTCCCAAAACTGCGAGGTTTGAATCATTATCTTACTATAGACTAATGGCGTTTTCGTTTCTACAAAAAATGCTGCCTTTTCATCGCCCTCTTCTTAGTGTTTGTGCGTAGAGGGCAAAGAGAAGGCTGCATTTTTCTGTAGAAACGAAATCGGAATAAGTGACTAACATCAGTCAAGAGACGGCGAAGTCATTCATTGCGTAAATATTTCAAATTTTAGTAAACTAATAGTCTCTAACAAGTGCTCAGAATTGTTTACAAATCTAAACTTTGTATAAATCAATAATAATTAACAGGTATAATAATGTATATTTGTTTTAATGTTTTTACTTTCAGAACGTTCTCTTTGCTATCGGTTCGGCATTCTTGTACTACGTCAACCATTTCAAACTGTACTCATCATTTTGCGCCAGTCATAGTAAGGCCCAGAAAGTTTTGCATCCCAGTAAGTAAATTTGCTATGTAACTGTACATATTTGTACTGAAGTCTTATTTCAGTTCATATCTTGAAATTCTTAAGTACATATGAGAGATCAATACACCAAATTTGACTGTTTTGAACACATACATATGTATGGATATATGCATTAGACCGTACATATACATACATGTTTTGCAAGGCAATTTCGTATAAAAAAAAATTTCGGGAACCCTGAGGTCGTATTTTTACACTTGCATTAACAATCGGGTCGTTATGTATGATTTATCGATGTTCTTGTGAGTAAGTACTAGAACGGGCTTTTTTAGGTCAACGAACTTTGAAACGAAAAACATTGTCTCCTGGCGACAAAAACATCAATATATCACACTTAAAGATCCAACTGCAAATGCCGAGGGTATGAATAAAGGCCCTTACGATTGGCCCTTACGATCGGCTAAAAGAAAAATCGAAACAGCCTTCGAATCGAAACACTTCCTTAGCAAAAGTTTGATGATTTTTGGCCAGCTTTAATTTACTGGCTTTCGGTCAAAAATATCTTTGGCCCAAATAAAAGCACAAATATCTTTTTTCGAAATCGCCTTACAAAAATACTTTAGACTCAGAGAGGTGCGGCAAACTTTTGTAAGGTGTTACGGTCTAATGTACATATGGGACGATTCACGTCAACCGGCCCAGAGTTCTGCCCGAAATTCCAATTACTGAAAATGAACACGCCCTTTAACTGAAACGTGGCGAAGTAAAAAACTCAAAATTGCGTCTTTACTACATCGCTTTAAGGAGGGGGTTAAATGGAGTGAAGGAGGGTTGCCAGAAGGAGATCATGGGTGTAAATTTTGCAGCACATGGAGTCATGAAATTTCGTACCTTGAATTTGCCTTTCCTCGCTAGCTCATCAGCCCTGCAATTTGATTCCTCTATTTCCCGCATCCAATATAAAGCTGGCCTTGAAGACGGTGCTAGTATCGTTTAGAGCTCCCCGATATCCCTTTGCAACCTTTGATGGTTGCATAGGCGTATTCTTGATTTGATGGCCGCCTGACTATCCGGGGAGATATTTATCGTATTTTTCATTACGGCATGTGTACTAATAATCCTAGTCCTTAGAGAAAACTCCATAGCCGACCCTATTATCAAGCTTGGAATCATCCGTTTAGAGATTTAGTTCCCCCATTCTGCATTCTTGACACTCTCCTCGTGATGGGATGTTATTTGGACCTTACACAGGAGTTTTTGGTAATTTTCTTTTGCGCCACATCCTAATGGTAATAGTAATGAAGAAATTATACTAGAAAATAAATAAAATCTTCATATTTACAGTTGCTTTTAATAAAAAATTATCTAAGCTAAATGCGATTCACTGAACTAATGGTTAATTTTGCTGTTGCTCCTTTTGTATATAGTAATTTGGAATTGTTATTGAAGAAAGGTTTAATCTTAAATCAACAAAATAGATTTGTTAAATTGATACACCATACTATTTTTGACGCATACATACAGAAGTACAGGACGTACTTCTTTGCGCTCTGAAATAGTTGGTCACATTACCCAGTTACCCAGACGAGATGAGCATGTTACTCATACGCCATGCACGCCCGTTCGATTTTATTTTCTTTCCGTGATAAATGGTAGGTACATCCAATATGGATCCGCCATTTAAGTCTAATTTCAGACTCATAATCGGCGATCTTAAGAACCCCTAATTGTAAAGTTTTAAGCGAAAGCAATCGATTTCGATTCTTTGGCCGCCCTCCGTAGCCCCCCAAGTAACGTATTCTAAAAAAATGGATAAATTTAAAAAAAAAATCCTCCCCTTATTGGAGCCGCCATTTTGAACTTTAACAAAAATGGCGTCAGACAGAAAACAGTAAAAAAAATAAAAAATTAAATTTAAAAGATGTATACGCTTCTTTTATACAGGCTTTCGTATTGAATACTTAAGCAATACACATCTATACTTGTACTTACATTTAAATGTACTTATGTACATACATATATTTTAATCGTATGTATAAATGTACATACATTTGATTTCTTGTTAGCATAAACCGCATTTTAATCTATATTACATCCTTATATACATACATACATATGTACTTCCGTGTGGCATACATAAAGTATGCGTGTAGCTCCAAGAATCCTATTAAATGGAAAATGAAATCGAACTCGAACCAATTTACACGAAAACACCTGAATTTAGTAAAGTTTGAATGAGGTAGTTAACTACAGGTACGAATAACATGTGTATGTGCATGATTATGTATATGTACTGGAGGACTAATATCCGTATATACATACATATGTATGATTGCACATACATGTACGTAAATATTTACAGTGTGACTGAAAACATACTTGTTAACAACACCACCACCACCACCTCCTGCGCATTATTTAAGCGGTTACGCGTCAGAGACTTTGAAAGTTTTGAGAATATAAATATACATACATATATATGTATAATGTACGCTCTAGGGGTGTTAATTTTTCAGCTATTTTCGATCCCGGGATTAGTCCCGGGATTTAGGTATTCATTACTTTTCAACAAATTAAATCGAAAAAGTTGCTTCTACCATAAAAAAAAATAATAAATGAATGGGTTTGAAACCTACTTTTTTATTTAAAGTGGCGTTTTTATGTTTTCTCTCTGACGTCAGGATTTATTTTATTCAAAGATATGATTGATTCCAAAAATGATTTAAAACATTCAATGCAATGTAGAATAAAAATATGGGTACAAATGCAAGAGGAAATCTCTTTAGAATTTAGAAAATTACATACGTAATTTTTAAGCTGACAACGTTAGAAGAATGAAATTCGAGCATGTTATCGAGTTTATATAAGCCCTTAACATATAATTTTTTTAAAAACAAATACTGCGATATTTTAAGGATAAAATTTCTCACATTTCTCTAAATTTTTTAAATCATTTTTGAATTACTTACGTCATAGTGAAAAACTAAAAATGAAATTTTACTATATTTGGCACATCGTTTCGCGAATATATTAATATTTCTGTTTAAAATTTGCTATCGCGCGGTGTTTTATGTATAACGTCTAGCTCATTATTTAAAAAAAAAAAAATATTTAAAGGGAGTTTCTATTATTGCCATCAGTGCAAATAACAAATCCCGAAAAGCTCGGGATTATTTGCCAAGAATTCCGGGATTTTAGGGACCTTAAAAAGGCCGGGATCCCGGGATTAACATTCCTAGTATATACATATGCGAATGTGGGATTTTGTATGCCATTCCCTTGGCCAAAAGTCTATCGCGACATCTCTCTTTTTGCGGTTTCCAGCTCTGTGCCAGCTGCTGTAAAGCAACATTGTAATTTCACATGTTTAATGTTCATCGAAATTCAAAATGAGTTTATGCCCAGTGGGGAAATGGTTCTAGAGAAACTACTTTTGATTCAGCAAAGTTGCGAATACTGAATAGAAATGTTTAGATATAAAATGAGTACTCCGATTCTATAAAAAATTATGAAGTTTTAATTGTGTTTGCTTCTTGCTTCAAAGTGAAAAGAGCAGACTTTTCGCCTTCAAGTTTTGAAAAGTAAAATAGCATAGTTTTGTAAAGTACCACATTTCGCTGCTTTTGAACTACACAGAGGGAAAAAAATGAAATTAATCAGAAACGACAACGAAAGTACTGTATAATGCAAGTCAAGTTTTCCCTACAAGGCACCCACTAGTGTTTGTATATACATATTTCGCATCTAACAATGTCACACATTATGCCCTGCCTATCGCAGATCGTATTCAGCGTGTACTTACAAGTGTTGTACTTCAATCACAATCGAGTATGCATTAAAATATAAACAAAGCACACAATGCTTTGCCTGAGTAAATAAATGGTGAAGTGTGAGAGTAGCATTAAATATCCATACCATAAACAATTAATGAAAAACATACATACTTACAAAAGATGCCGTTCCTTACGCTAAAACTCTGACTCCACTGCGTCAAATGTCATGATATGTACATATGAGCAATTGTTCAATTTTTCGACCAAACTAAATAGAGGAAGATTTCATTGCTAAATTGTATTTAAATGAAATCTTAATAAAGACATACTAAAAAGAAAAGTCAAAATAACAACTCCTGCTCATATACCCGTATTTGTGTATGTAACGTATACGTCCCGTAGCACCATACACCACCGACTAACACGTCTAATCGCACGCAGTGTTGCCACTTGCAAATATTTTTAGGTACCAAAATGCCTACCAAATCAGTTTCCAAACTACCAAAATTTGTTCATCATTAGTTTTTTAGCTACACAAATTTGCAGTAAAAATTAAAACTACACATAATATTGTTAACAGTATTGGTTAACCATTCACACCAATCCTTCAGATTAAACAATTCGGGCATTTAAATAAAAGAATTAACGTATTGTATAAAAAACTTTTGCAGAATATGTAAATATATTTGGGATTGATTCAACTCATATCAAAAAATTTTTTTTTGTGTGTGTGAAAAAACAAAAGCAGATATTTTATGCATTACAATCAAAAAATTTCTAAATTTGATTCAATTTGCATCTCTCACCCTTTTTTACCAATACACTGACACTTTGCAAATTGCCTATCACCAATTTTTTTTTTTCAAGAAAATAGGTAATTTCTCTTTAATTTCAACAGCTAATCGGTCCTAGCTTTGGGAAATGAGTTTTTGTTTTGTTTGTTGTTGACATACTGGGAGCATGCCTTTCGCCAACCACAACATGACCGATTTGGTTTCTCATTTTTCGATCTGGAAATAACCACGTAGCGTGATGGATGTTCTTATGCTTGAACCTGGTACTGCATACTGCCATGTATCGGGCCTGACGAAGTCGAAAAAAGGCAGACTTTATTATCTTTTCGATATTTGCTATAAAACATTTCGCTACAATAAGTCCCAAAATACTATTCACTAATCAAATGAATCGGCAGACGGTGCCACACCCCATAGCTACAGCTTGAACGAATATGGATATTGTGGCTATTTTCCGATCGGG